GGGGTGAATGGGGTAAAAAAGAAAATGGAACGTGGTAATGATGTGGTCGAGTTTAGGTGAGGGTGTGGGTGGGAGGGTGTGTAGAGGAGCTGGAGACAGATAGACAGAAAGTGAAACGTGGAGATGAAGTGAGGATCGGTCAGCCATAATGCTAAGCACAAGCACGATCGCCCTCCATCATTCTCCCCGTTTGCCAATAATTCCGAGCTCATTTTCGTCTATTCTTTCTTCCTCCCTTCCGATCTTAATTTCCGATCTAGTTTTTTTCTCTTTCGTCTTTACGCCTCAGTCACCTTCCTCATCAGTGTTCTAATCTCTTTCTTTCTCAATTTTTGTTTTAGGGTTTTTTTTTCGTGTTTTTTAAATCTCTTTGTGGTGGGACACAGTCCTTGAGGTACAGAGGAGAGGGAGGAAAAGAGAGAGAGATAGATAGATAGATAGATAGATAGATAGATAGATAGATAGATAGATAGATAGATAGATATAGATCGACAGACAAAGAAACCTCCAAAATAAAAACACAAGCAAATCACAATTAAAGAAAGAAGAACATCAAACACAAAGAAAAACTAAACATGCAGAAAGAACAGGCAAAACAAAGACAATGACATCCTCACCACCAGGAGTAAAACAGAAACATAGCTTCCAAAAATAATAATAATAACAGTAATAAAAATATGCAAACAAACAAAAGGAACACACAAAGAAACAAAACAAAGACACAAACAAATAAAACGAATACACAAACAAACAAAACAAAGACACAAACAAACAAAGAAACAAACAAACCCAGCAACACAACTTGGAAGAGAGCGTAACCACAGAGCACTTTGATAAGGCCCCCTTCCCCCTGTCATTACATACATTATACAGACATTATCCAACAACCAGCCAATTAGGATCAAATCAGAAGCACTGTCCGCTGCCGTTGAATTAAAGACGGAATTCTGAGGGCAGAATCTTGAGACAACCATCTATCGGTTCCAGACTTCCAGGATTTATTTGAAGATGTGGACTAAACTTGGAGGGTATAATTACCTGGAAACCCACAATGCCTCATTAGTGTTCGGACATAGATTGTCTGTGTGGGTAGTATTATTGGTTCGTCAGCTTCATGTAGATTGTTCCTCGGCGGATGTGTTCTGGCTGGACTTCATTTTTCCTGACAGCTATACCCGGTTTTGTCTCGGTCATTGATTGTTTTTGGTTTGTCATTGTTGTTTCTCTCTTTCTTTCTTTCTTTCTTTCTTTCTTTCTTTCTTTCTTTTTTGTTTCTCTTCTCTCTATCACTCTTTTTTTCTCTTGCTCTCTGTCTGTCTGTCTGTCTGTCTGTCTGTCTGTCTGTCTGTCTGTCTGTTTGTCTGTCTGTCTGTCTGTTGGTTTGTTTATCTGTCTGTCCGTCTCTATATCTTTACCTATCCCCCCCCCCCCCC